GGGGAAGGCTCGGATTTGAGTCTGCGAGAGATCGACACTCTAGAGGACAGTGAATACTCGCCGCTACTGGAGCTCTCGGAGGAATTGGAAAATACAATCAGTGATTGTATCAATAATAAGAGGTATCTCTCGAATGGCGTGAGTGCGAAGCTGAGAGAGACAATGGGTCGCATCAAAAATCAGTATATGAAGCTCCTTGAAGAGAATCGGCTATTGCGTATAAAACTGGAGAAAGTAGCTCAGCAGAGCACAGATGGGAGATCCCCTATGACGTATAAGGATGCCCTCTACGCTAATCAGGGTCATCTAGGCCTTGGAACTGTGAAAGCTGGGAGAGTCCTCAAGCCTCCGAAGCAGAACCAAATCAAAACTTTGGTTATCAAACCGAATGACCTCCCACACGAAGAAGAACGCAGGAAGGAGTCACTCGCGCAGCTCAAGGACAGCATCGACAGAAAGCTATGTAATTTCAGGATAGACAGGATTGTCAGACGCAGGGACGATATCATTGTGAGAGCTCCCCTGAATCAAGTGGACATGACGACAGTTCTCGGGGAGTTGGGCAGTATCGACGGCATACAGGCGAGACCACAAAGTAGACTATCTCCCGAGGTTCTGATATACAAGGATGAATTTGTTGGAGAGAAAGAAGATTTAAAGGCCCAGGCAAAAAGCTTACAGAGGGAGTTAAATGTAGACGAATGGGTCTTCATGAGGACCACTAAGAAGTTCTTCATCATCAGGGTGCCCGCGGGCGATAGATCCTGTATGATAAGAGATGGGCTGTATGTGAGGAACATGAAACTGAAAGTGAAAGACCATTTAAGCCTCAATGTTTGCTACGATTGTGGACAATGTCACTCGAGGAATAAACCCTGTGCGGCTAAGAGTGATGAAGGAAAGGCTTGTTGCTGCCTATGCGGAGATAAACATCACATGGGAAGATGTCCAAAGCGAGGCTCGCGACTGGACTTGTCGGCATGCAAATGTTCCTTGTGCAAAAAGGCTGGGCACAATGCAATGTTCGGGGATATGTGCGATGAGAAGCTCAAGCAACTCCGTCAGAAACTCGCGATGACGGACTACGGAGGGAGCGATGTTCCATATAACGGGAAACTTTTGATCTAGTATGTTCTTAACTTTCTTACAGCTGACTGTCGTAAGTCTCAAGCTATATTTCTCAGCTTCTAGCGGATAGCGTAGTTAGTCCTGACTTT